TAGCTGCCGCAAGCTAGGCGTGCTAGCAGCGCACACACTAGCAGTCACACACAGCAGCAAGCTCGCACCAAGTGCGTGGCTTGCGCGCACAGCAGCAGCCCGCATCTTGGTGCGGGGCTGGGCTTGGGCTGGGCTCGTGGCTGAGCTTTTGGCTGGGCCATAGGGTTGGTCACTATGGGGAAGCTTGAGGAATATGGGAGCAAGTGGGTAAGGACATGTGGCACAAGGAGAGTATTGAGTGGGGAGCAAGTATGGTCCCCTACTCTCCATGTGGTCCTCACCAACCCATTTCACATGGTAATGCCACTTGTTGATTTATTATTAGTTTGCAATTTTAATTTAATTTAGCTTTAAATTAATTTGTGGAATTTCATGATCCCACATTGATGGGATAGAAATTCCCACTCATACTTTCCTCTATAAATATCAACCTTGGGATTTGGAGTAAAGTGCTTGAGTGGGAGTTAGAAAGAGCATTCCATATTTTGGGAAAAACTCTTAAACTCATTAACACTTGGGTTTTGGTCGTACCTTGCTAACTCCAAGGTAGCGGAGCTAAAAATTTGTGTTCGTCCTTTGTGGGTGGATACCGTTTGAGGCACGGCATATGCGGTGCTCAAAGCTTTCAAGTAAGAGCCCGTTTTGAGAGGGCGAAGCTCGCTTCAAGGGTATGATTCGTTCTTCCTTTTTCTTGTGTTTATTTATTTATGCTTTATGGTTTTATTAATTACGAGTGGTTCCTTGGGTCGGGGTTGTTTTCGCGGTGAGTCGGACTCACCAAACCCCAACACTAACACCCCCACTTAAGTTGGAGCGGATGGACTAAAGATATCCAACTTGTGAAGAAGGTGATCAAACTGAGATTTTCCCAATGCTTTGGTGAAGATGTCGAGCAGTTGGGCGTGAGTAGGAATGTAAGAGGGAGCAATAAGACCATCCAAGATAGCATCCCGAACGAAGTGACAATCAATTTCAATATGTTTCATTTGTTCGTAAAAACCTGGGTTCTTTGCATTGTGCAACACTGACTGACTATCACAGAATAGCTAGATAGCCTTGGGATGATGAACACTTAAGCTAAAAAGAAGACCCTTAGCTTCTTCCACTTTAATTAACAAGTGATAGCTGCCGTGGAGTGATACTCTACTTCTGTCGAACTTGTTCAGGTTGTGTTATGCTTTTTGATCTTCCATGAAATATGAGAATGGCCTAGGAATACTAGCCATTCCGTCAAATATCTGAGTGTTAAGGGACATGTGGACTAATCTAAATCACACCAACCTTGCAGAGTTAGGTCACTGTCAGATCGTAACAAAATACCTTGACTTGAAGTGCCTTTCAGATATCTAACAACTTGTGTATTTGCTTCCTACTGTCTTGTTTTTGGTTCATGAGACAAAATATGAACCGAATAGGCTAAATCCAGCCTAGTAACTGTAATATAGATCAACATGCCGACAAGTCTGTGACAGGATTTAGGATCAGAAAGTACGGGACCACTTACTAGACCAAGCTTGTGGTTTTGCACCATAGGAGAGTCGACGGGCTTGGAACCCAATAATCCGGCCTGAAATAATGTCAAGAGTGTATTTTCTCTGACACAGAAACATGCCTGAAGAGCTACGAACAACTTTTATGCCCAAAAAATATTTTAGAGTACAAAGATCCAGTCACTGAGATATGCTTTGAATGCCCTTAAAGTAGCGGAATCATTTCCAGATATAATAAGATCATCAACATAGATAAGAACATTAATTTTTACGACCCCAGATGTGTAAGTAAACAATGAATAGTCATAATATGACTGAAAGAAACCATATTTTGTCAAAGTAGAGACAAGTTTGGGAAACCAACATCGTGGTGCCTGTTTTAGGCCATACAAAAACTTCTGAAGGCAATATACCTTATTTTGATGAAATGATTTAAAACCCGGGGGAAGCTTCATGTAGATTTCCTCTTCAAGATCCACCATGTAGGAAAGCATTGTGTACATCCATCTAAAGAAACTCCCAATTTTTAGAAGCTGCAATGCAAGAAGAGCTCGAACGGTGACCATTTTAGCCACTGGTGCAAAAGTTTCGGAGTAGTCAATGCCCTCTTTTTGATGATTTCCAGAAATGACATATTTGGATTTTAGTTGTTCAATGCTTCCATCAGAATTTTATTTGATTTTGTACACCCATTGACACACAAGAGCTCGTTTGTTGGGGGGAAGATTCTCCATTGTCCATGTTCCATTTTTTTTTTCTAGAGCCTGAATTTCATTTTGCATTGATCATCTTAAACGTGCATATTTCATGGCCTCCTTAAAATACTTTGGCTCTTTTTCGGAAGTAATAGCTGTAGTAAAATTTCGGTAATGTGGAGAAAAACTATCACAAAAAATATAATGCGCTTTAGGGTAAGGAGTACTTGAGGGATGCTTTGGAGATGGAGTGTTAGAAGATGTGGACAATGGACTGTTAGCAAGGACCGTATGAGTCACAAATTCCCAAAATAGAACATTGGGAAACTTCTCATGCATACCTCGACCCAACTGCCCCTCATGTTCATGTACTGCTGTTTCGTGCTGATTTATTGGAGAAGGAATGCTGCTTGCTTGATGGTCTGGGGTGTGAGTTGTAGAAGAAGATGTCTCCTGAAGATGTCGTGGCTGGCTAGTGGAAGCAGAGCCTCATAGCTGCTGATCCGTGAGCTGTTGCCTGGGATAATCAGTGCACTCCATAACCTCCCTACAGTGAACATCAGTTTGCCGCAAGGTGCCTGCGGATTGGGCTACCTTTATGTTTTCTTGCGATGTTGGCACATGATTCTCCTCCCCATTATTAAATTCAGGCACATTGTCGGCATTCACCTCATTACCCCGACTATAATTTACATGATTGTCCATAGAAAAATCAACAAAATCAAAGTCAACATCCAGATCCATGGGCACCATTTTTTTCTAGTACAATGTTGGATGATATCTGATCAAGGAATGGGAAAACATCCTCAAAAAGTTTAACATCTCTCGACAAAAAAAATTCTTTTGAATCAAGGTCAAATAAATTCCAACCTTTCTTCCAATAAGGATAACCTACAAAAACACATTTATGACTCCGATTTGCAAATTTATCTCCCTTAGATTTTTTATTGTGAGCAAAGAAAAGACACCCAAAGGACGAATGGTGGCGTAAGTGAGAGGAGTGCCAAACAAAATTTCATAAGGATTTTTGTTATGTAAGAGAGGAGAGGGAGTGCGATTAATAAATGAGCAGTAGCAACAACACTTTCCCCCTAAAAATAAATCGGCAAATTAGCCTGAAATCTTAAAGCTCTCCCTACATTGAGAATGTGTTTATGTTTTCTCTCAACCTGACCATTATTTTGTTGTGGAGTTCCCACACACGAGGTTTGAAATATTATGCCAGTTGCATTAAAAAACTCTCTCAAACAATTAAATTTAGTGACATTATCCACCATTGCCATAAATGACTTAAACATACGAAATACCTCAGTTTTATCAACAAGAAAATATATCCAAACACCACGTGAAAAATCATCCACTATTGTTAAAAAATACAGAGCACCACGTGAAAAATCATCCACTATTGTTAAAAAATACAGAGCACCACAAGACAAAGCATATCTATATGATCCCAATAAATCACAGTGTATCTTTTCAAAAATTCTAGTAGTTTTATTCTCACTTAAAGAAGTTATCTCTAGGATATTTAGCACGAAAATAACCTTCACATGCTTTATTTAAACTACCTTTACAATTATGAACGGGAGAGAGGAGTTTGACTACTTTTTTCGAAGGATGACTATTACGCTTGTGGCACAGTTCTAATAAAGCAGATGAATCAGATGTAGCCACATGTTGAACTAATGCTCCTCCTTCAAAGTAAAAAGTCCATCTTGCCTAACACTTGTTCCAATAAGCTCCTTCGACTAGTCCTGTATAGCACACATAAGAGAGTTAAATTGGACAGTTTAATTCGTATCATTGATTAATTGTGATACCAAAATTAAATTGCAACATAAATAAGGAACAAATAACACATGCTTAAGGACAATTTTTTTACGATAACCGAACCAAGCGTTCCTTTGTGGCGTAAACTGTTTTTCCATTTAGAAGGCCAACTGAACAATGAGAGATGAGGTGAGTATCAAAGAGCCACTTGTCATCGCAAGTAACATGTCTAGAGGCACTTGTGTCAACAACCCACAAGGCGTTATCAAACTCACCATTCAAATGGTCATCGGGAGTTTTTGTGTTACCAATAAAGCCAGCAATAGCCTTCCATTGTTTTGTTGTAAATGCTTGAGAAGAACTCCCATAGAGTCAACGTTGCTGATACTAGATGCAGACCCAACAATAGTCACATTTGCTCAAGCCGGACCATGTTGGGCCCGTATTAACATACGACCTAGTATGATTAGGGAAACAATCCAAGATCAAGGATTCATCAAAATAAGAAAGAACAGCTTTATTAGAGTAAACAAGGAAAGCAGCATCAAGAGTATCAATCAAGAGGATACTTGCCAAAGATACACCTACAGAACAGGGAACAAAATAAATCAAGAGGATCTTCTACATTTCGAATATATTATGAATATCTATGTAAACCTTAGGGATTCCTAGGTATAAATAAGAAGAATTAGGCATTATAACGCTCATGTACGCTCACATATAATTCAATATAAACAATTTGCTCTACTTTTATCTACGGAACTGCGTCCCTGCTGAACAAGGAGGCTTGTCCTTACTCAGTATTGTATCTCTAAACTCATCTTCTTGATCTTATTGAATACTTACTGCTTACTTATTAATTATTTAATGCTTTATTATCGTTCTTATTTACTTTATATATTATTGGTGGAATGATTGTTATTACCCCTCAAAACCTAGCAAATTCTTAGATGTCCTAGCTGAGATTTGGCTAAACAATTTGGTGCCCACCGTGGGGCTGATAATCAATTAACCTACCAATTCGCCAAAAACCAAAACAAACACCATGACTGGACAACCAGTACCCTTTACCATTGCCGAAATCAATGAGGGAATGAATGCATTCCGTCAAACCTTAGACCAGCAGAAAAGCCAAATCGAAACACTGTTGGCCCAAAAGGTCCAAACTGAAGCCAAACTCACCAGTCTTACCAAAAAAAATGAAGCCCTCCGCAGCCAAATACAATCAGTCGCATCCAAAACTGTTAACACCAGAAAGAGCACTGAAAGTATAGCCATGCAGCTTGACATGTCCGGAACCTTTCACACCCCTAACGGGGAAAAAGGATCTAACAGCAGGGAAACGACCCTGGCTCTAGACTTTTTGGATGCAGGAACCCTCAAGAAGAACAATCAGGAAGGAGCCGAAGAGGGAAAAATGGAAAAGATGGTTAAGGAGTACCTCAAGGCAATTGAGGCCAAGATCGCCAAAATTCCTGGAATGCGAAAACCCATGGAAGAAGAAGCAGCAGATGGGTATATAGAGTCTCCTTTCTTAGAAGAGATTGCCATGGTAGAAGTTCCGAAGAGGTTCAGCACACCCAACATGACTATGTATGATGTAACAACAGACCCTGATGAGCATGTGTCCCTCTACAAGCAGAAGATGATGACAAGCTCAATCCCTAGAGACATCAGAGAGGCTATCATGTGCAAAGGCTTTGGAGCCACACTATCAGGTCCAGCTCTAACTTGGTTCATTAATTTAGATAATGGGACAATTCGATCTTTTGCAGGAATGGTGAACCTATTCAAGATCTTGTTCGCTAACAGCAGGAAAATCGAGAAGCAGTCTTCAGATCTGTACCGTGTTGTACAAAGACATGGTGAATCCTTGAGGGACTATCTTAACAGGTTCAACAGGGAAAAGATTGGGAAACACAAGTGTGATGCTCCTATAACAATCGAAGCATTCAGAAGAGGACTGCTAGACCATAGTGAGCTCTACAAGGAGTTGACCAAATATCCCTGTACAACCTATGAAGATGTGCAAGCCAAAGCTATGGCTCAAGTCAGATTTGAGGAAGATACCTATGCAAGAAAGACTCCCGAGCCAGATCGCCAGCCAAGAAGGAACAATAACTTTTCCAGAAGAGATCATCGATTTAAAACATATCAGCGTTCCCGCTTTGATGCAGGATCAGTCAATGCTATCGAAGGAGAATTCTCCGATTGGAGGGAAGATTCTGAACTCCCACCTAAATTACATGAATATTGCTTCAATGTTAACCCTGCAGGAGTAATTAGGACCCTGAATAAGATGGGAGATACTGTGCAATGGCCCAGAAAGAATGATAGGCCTGGAGAGAAGAAAGATCCATCCAGATGGTGTGATTTCCATTCAGATATTGGTCATACAACCGATGAATGTGTTGCGCTCAGAAAGGAGGTTGCTTACCTGCTGAAGAAAGGTTACCTCAAAGAACTCCTGTCAGATAGATCTAAAGCTCCAGGGAAGGAAAGAGAATCAAAGCAGGGAGGTCCTCCACCTCCGCCTCCATTTGTCAAAACCATTTGTTTCACATCAGGAGGGTCAGAAGTATGCGGTTTAACATACTCAGCAGCAAAGCAACACGCAAAGGAGAGCAATAAGGATCAACCCGACAGAAGGGAAAAATCCAAAATAGACATTCCCATCATGTTTGAAGAAAGCGATGCAGTAGAAGGCCATCATGAAGGTCTAGTGATTTTACTCCCAGTTGGAAACTGCATGATCAAGCGAATCCTTGTTGACAATGGAAGCTCTGCAAACATCATCATGCTTGATACTCTGAAACATATGAACATAGACGAAAAAAACATCATCAATAAGTCAATAATGCTAGTAGGACTCAGTGGGGAAACCAAGAAGACAAGCGGGGAGATCACATTAGCTACCTATGCAAAAGGAGTCAACCTACAAGTCAAGTTTTAGTGATTCACACTCTGTCCTCATACAATATGATCTTAGGCAGACCCTGGATACATGAGATGAAGACTATCCCCTCTACGTACCATCAAGTCATTAAGTTCCCTACCAGGTGGGGTATTCAAGAAATTAGAGGAGATCCTAAGGAGGCTAAGGAATGTTAAAAGATCGCATTAAAAGCAACATCTGCAGAAAAGAGTTCAGCATAGCAATTAGAGGGTCAATTGGGCCAAGAGAAGTTGAGCATAGCAAAAGAACAAGAAGCCACAAAAGTCCAGTTGAATCCCAAGCACCCAGATCAAAAGGTCAGAATAGGGTCAGAATTGAAGTCAGATCTCCGACAACAAATATATGACTTCTTAGAAGAAGAAATGGATGCATTCGCTTGGACCCATGAAGACATGAAAGGCATCTCTTCAGATGTAATTACTCACAAGCTGAATGTAGACCCAATGCATACACCAGTAAAGAAGAAGAGAAGGAAATTTACGCCAGAAAGGAACAAGATTATCAATGAGGAAATCAGAAACCTTTTGAAGACTGGAAAGATTAAAGAGGTAAAATACCCAGAATGGCTTGCTAATGTAGTGGTAGTCAAGAAGAAGAACGGAAAATGGCGAATCTGCATAGACTTCACAGATATAAACAAGGCATGCCCAAAAGATCCGTTCCCCCTACCTCACATTGATGCCATGGTAGACGCCACGGCAGGACACGAGCTGTTATCCTTCATGGACGCGTACAGTGTTACAATCAAATCCTCATACACAAGGATGACCAGGAGAAAACCGCTTTTATTATTAGTCAAGGAATATATTGCTACAAGGTAATGCTTTCGGATTGAAGAACGCAGGAGAGACATATCAAAGGTTGGTGAACAAGATGTTTGAAGAACAAATAGGGAACACAATAGAGGTCTACATAGACGACATGGTAGTTAAATCCAAGAAGGCAGAAGATCACGTCAGAGACCTTAGAGAAGCATTTGCCATCCTGAAACAGTACGACATGAAGTTGAATCCCACAAAATGCACATTTGGAGTATAGTTAGGAAAGTTCCTAGGATATATGATTACACAAAGAGGAATAGAAGCCAACCCAGACCAAGACAAAGCCATCCTAGGCCTAGAACGACCAAAGTCAAAGAAGGATGTACAGAGCCTAACAGGGAAAATTGCAGCACTGAACAGGTTCATTTCAAAATCTTCAGACAAGAACTGAGCCTTTTACGAAGTACTGAAGAAAAACAAGGAATTCAAGTGGGAGCAGGAACACGACGAAGCATTTTAGAAGTTAAAAGAGTATTTGGCCAACCCGTTGATTCTCTCTAAACCTAAGGAAGGAGAGCCCCTCCAGTTGTACCTCGCAGTGTCTGAAGGGACGATCAGTGCAGTCCTCACAAGAGAAGAAGACAAAGAGCAATTCTCAATCTACTACGTAAACAAAACCCTACTCAGTGAGGAAACGAGGTACGCATCCTTAGAGAAATTATTTTATCTCTAGTTACTGCTTCAATAAAGCTACGCCCATACTTTGAAAGCCATTCCATATGAGTTCGCACCAACTATCCCATCAAAGCTATCATGAGAATGCTAGAAATGTCAAGAAGGATGGAGAAATGGGCCTTACATCTGAGCAGGTACGATATACAATACGAGCCCGTGACTACAATCAAATCACAAGCTTTGGCAGACTTCGTAGCAGACTTCAGTCCAACCCTTGAGGAAGAAGCACAAAAAGAAGTATTGGCATTACAGGAATCAAAGGTTACACAGAAATGGATTTTCCATACGGATGGCACAGCAAACATACGCGGTGTAGGCCTAGGAGTAGTAATGACATCACCCCAAGGAGACAAGATAGCACAGGCAATAAGATGCAACTTCAAGGCCTCCAATAATGAAGCTGAATACGAAGCACTGATCACAGGGTTAACCGTCGCAAGGGATATGAAGATACAACATCTAGAGGTAATTTCAGACTCCTTACTCATGGTAAATCAGATCAATGGAGGATATGCAGCAAAGGATGCCAGGATGATAGCCTACCTAGAAGTCACAAAGAAACTCATTAAGGAGTTCAAGGAATTCAAGATAGACCAGGTACCTAGAAACTTGAACACTGAAGCAGACGCCCTGGCAAACTTGGGATCAAATATTAATCCAGAAGAATTTGGAGCTATCCCCCTAGTACACGTACTCTCTCCAGCCACGGAGAAAGAATCAACCATGAACGTCTACGAAGTTCAAGCAAGCCCTACAGGGAAAGAAGACGACAGCTGGACAACACCACTGAAAGAATACCTCTTGGACAAGACAGTACCAACAGGGAAAGTAGCAGCTCAAGCACTCGCTCTGAAAGCCTCCAAATATTGCCTAATCTGCAACGTACTCTTCAAGAAGTCTGTAGCAGGTCCCTTCTTACGATGCTTAGAGAAAGAGGAAGCACAGCAGGTCTTATAGTCCCTACACGGCGGGGAATGCGAAAATCATTCAGGAGGAAGGAATTTAGCAAACAGAGCACTCAGAATGGGATACTATTGGCCCAGCATGAGAAAGGACGCTGCAGAGTTCGCCAAGAAATGCTTAGCATGCCAAAGACACGCACCTTTGACACACAGACCGTCAGAAGAGTTACATCTAACGCTAACACCTTGGCCATTCATGAAATGGGGAATGGATATAGTGAAGCTACCCCCGTCATCAGGGCAGAGAGTATACTTCTTAGCAATGACAGACTACTTTTCAAAGTGGATCGAAGCAGAAGCGTACAAGGAAATCAAGGATAAACATGTCATCCCGTTTATAAAAAGAAACATCCTAAGTAGATTCGGAGTACCAGCAGAGATCATTACAGATAATGGATCCCAATTCATCAGCAATAAGACCACAAAGTTCTGTAAGGAATGTAACATTTCTCTCATCACGTCTACGCCTAGATATCCACAAGCAAACGGACAGGCATAATCAAGTAACAAGGACCTTATAGGCAACACGAAGAAAAGGCTAGAAGGAGCGAAAGGGAAATGGGCAGATGAATTGCCCAACATACTATGGGCATACTGTAGGCGTCGTTCGAAGTGCGCCTACATAAAAAGCACGTGGTGAATATGCTTGGCACTCATAGGAAGTGGGAATTGACATAATACGATTAGGGACAAGGAAAGTAGGGAGCCGCCAACAAGTTTGTAAGGAACTTGTAAACCGTTCACGGATCATAAAAGGCAACCACGAATAAGGGACAACGATAGGCAACAACGATTGACCCGTGAAGGTTACACCCCATTCATAATCCATGAGATTACTAACTTCATATGGTTCGGAACCACGAAAGGAGGATCGGGGATGATGGTACGAAGTGAGTCATGGAGTCACATTCGCCCGTATTGGCCTCTACTCGATACTTATATTGAAAAGCATTCCTGTGATCTCAAAGGCATACAAACAATAATTCAATTCGCTCCAAACTATTATTTAACTAAATTGGTTTAATATTAATGCACACATGATTCTAAAATATTGGTGATCACTTTAATTAATAATAAGATTAAAAGGATCCTAAACCGGTTGTCCAAATTATCTTATTAGGCGTGATGTTCAATTACATATTCCCTTTAAACATGTAATATGGTGATCAATAAATATAATAGAACAACGTTAATATTAAAACCAAATTAATCACAATTCTAACAACATAAAATCGTTAGAAAAATAATAAAAATAAAAGGAGCATGACTCTTTCTTTGATTCTGTTTGTTTGCAACTACAAAATAATAAACGAGTTAGTAACTTCAAGGAAATAATAAAACAATAACTAAATTAAATAAAATAAAGTTGATTTTGGGGCCAAACCCTCAAACAGTTCTACCTTTCACGCCTTGGTTTAAGGACAGAACCTCGAGTAAAATATGGACTCCTTTGAGTGCTTGAAGAAGGAATTTTGAAGTAGAGAAGGGTAGGCTAGTGTTTAGGCTAAAGCATAGAAGAGAGAAAATAAAATAATAGAATTACTCGGTGCCCCATTCATCAGAAATGAGGGGGGTATTTATAGGGAAAATGTGCTGAGGGAGCACACGGAACCCTAAAATTATAAAAACCCTAAAAACGTATCCCGTGACATGGTCAGACTGTACCGTGACACGGGAAGCTCCACCGTCAGACGGTACACTTTCCCGTGACACGGTACACTTTTGGCGTGACGCGGGAAATTTTCAGAAAACGGGATAGAAAACGCGTCAAGGGTTTACGCGGAAAAGACACGGAATGTCCCGTGTCACGGCAGACCTCCCGTGTCACAGGAAATCCCACCGTCAGACGAGAAGGATTCCCGTGACACGGTAGGTACCTGCCGTGGCGCGGGAAATTCCTGCCTGTTTTTCCGTCTAAATACATTTTTAACCCTAATTTCCTTCGACATTTTAAGTTCCGATTGATAATTTCGGGCCTTTTCTGACTTTTTATTATTCGGGCTAAAATAAGAAAATAATTAAATAAAAATAAATAAAGGGTTTGGGCCTAAAATAAATAATAAAACAATAAAATAAAAAAGGTTTGGGCTAAAAATTAATTAATAAGTTTGGGCTGAAAATAAAACTATGCTTTTACCAAACATCAAGACTAATCCATGGACTGTTCAAAAATATGAATTTAATAAAATACGATTTTTTTAAGCACTCTCGGGATTAAATACTAAACCCGACCAATAGTGGCGGTGAAAGGTTGTTCATCATCGGGTTTGGTTTTGGGGAGACATTTTTAGGTGTCTACACAGACAGAACAACTCCAAAAGGCGCTACAGGCCACACTCCATTCTCATTGGTGTACGGATGTGAAGCAGTGATCCCAACAGAGGTAGAAGTCCCCACATCAAGGTACGGGTTAATGACAGAAGGAAGGAACCAAGCTGAACTAATTCACAACCTGGACACAGTGGAGGAACTTAGAGAAGACGCAAAAATGAGAATGGCAGCATATCAGCAAGAAGTAGCAAGATCCTTCAACAAGAAC